GGGGCGGCCGCCGCAGCAGGTGGGTTCCTGGGCGAGGAGGGGCCGGGGCCCTGCAGAGAAGAACAGAAACCCGCCGGAGGGGAACCCCTCGGGGACGAGGGACGTGGAGGCGCTGACAGCCCTCGCCTGTTGGCAGAAGGGTGTCGAGGAAGGCGTGTGCGCCAGGACAGCGGACGGAAGTCCTCTCGCTGCCCGCAGGATGAGCGCTGTTCCAGCAGCGATATTAACGACGCCTCTGCTCCTCTGCCCAGGTCTTTGTACAGCAGACGAAAGGCCTAACCCGTGTACAGGTGATTTTGCATTATAATAATAATAATGGATTTGAGTGATTGCTTACACAGTATGACCCTGTTTTGAGTGCAGGTTTCCTCCTTTCTGCTTACCCAAGTGCAGCATCCAGTATATGAAGACAAGATACACATGGAAGGCTATTTTAAGTTGTACTGTAAAATGTATTCGGTTTCAGAGGATGAAATGTACTTGTACAGATGCATAGTGAAGCAGCCAGGTAGGCTTGTAACCGAGTTCAGTGGTAGCTAGCAGATACATCTTGAGTTGTACTGCCAAGTACTTCTGGTTGTTCCTCTTATCCTGCTTTTCAGGAGGCACCAACTCGAATGTTCACTAACTCTGGTGAACTAGTAATAAAATGTAGGTGTCTGTGTAAATACAAGTGAATCACTGTTAACAGAGATCCTAAGAGGCAATTCTTTTTTACAGCTGCCTTGGCTTCTCAGCTTTTCTCTACTGCTCCCGAGAATGCTGACACCATCCTGTTTCTTTAGGAAAGAGAGAAGAAAGCATGTACAACTTTGACTAGTATGTCTTGCTGACATACACAAAGCCATCCTGTGTTCATTTTCCTTAGGAATTAACACATGGCAAAGAGTTATCATAAGGAAACTTACGGAAGTCCAAGGGGAAAAACAGCTGTTCTGAGGTGTCTATCATCGTAGTACTTACATTGCTAAAGGATGAGCAAAAAAGCCCAATCAGCTAATGAAGTGTGTGTGCTTTGGATTGCCTCAGAGTTCCAGGATTTTAGCACCGAAAAAGGATGAGTCGGGTTGACGCTTTTTCTGCTTTCAGGATATTTCTGCAGTCTCAATTCCATATAGATTCTGTAAGCATAATGAACTGTGAGGCCATACTGTAACATCTCCTGTGTTTTGAATGATTTCTGTCCTATGTGGTTGTCTAATTTCTTCAAAATATGTAGGAGCTCTGAAACATCCATCCCCCTGCCCAGCTGGCCAGAAAGACCCCCGATGCTTTCTGAAGGAAAGGAACACAGTCAACTTTATTTCCTAAACCTTTCCTCAGGACAGTAGCTAGAAAAGTAACTTAGGTCTATGTTGACCTTTTAACTCTCAAGAATGTAATTCAAAGAACATAAAATTTAGGTACTTCTTGACAATTTAATGATGTGTTAGTGAAGCTATTTACTCTTAATTAAGGAGCCTGGAAAATTCAGATTCAAGCTTGGTAGTTGCTGTGATGGAGAATTAGCTAATTGGTAGAGGTACCCAGAAATAAATTTTTACAAACGTCTTTTTTTTTTTTTCTTTCCAGATATGAAGCACTGTGCTGTGTGATACTTATTTTGCTGGTTCTCACCATTGGAGGATGGCTGCCATACTCTGTGAAAATTGTTCTGGTCAGTACCCCTACACCCAGGTCAGCCAACCTCTTGAAATCAGCTGCATGTTGCTCCTGATTATGCTCGGAAAAGTGTTCCTTGATTTCTTCATGTTGCAAGTTAAGCAAAAAAAAGTGAAAGCTAGTTTTATGGGATACTTCTGTGTTTCACTGGCACTTCTCGATTTCATACTGCTGATGAGTATATCCTTCATTTTCTATTTTGAGGACTTTGCACTCTGGGGTGTGCGATTTACAAAGTACCACATTTGCCTGTTCACTCAGATAATTTCTCTTACCTACGGTATTTTGCATTACCCAGTGTATCTTGTGGCTGGTCTGGATTATTACATGACTATAGCCCAAACCTCTCAAATTCCTAAAAGAGGTCAAAGATTACTTTATGTATGTGCTGTGGTTGTTATATGGATTTCAGGGTTTTTTTGTATTCTGAAAGTTCCTGCTATCTGTGAAGAACTAGAAATTCAGAGCCGTTTTTCACCTTATCAGTGTCCTCTCTATGCCAGCGTGCAGAGCTACTCGGTCTCATGTGCCATGGTGCTGCTCATAGGCATGGCTGTCCTGGCTTGTCAGAAGGAGGTTACAACCATGCTGCTGTCTGTCAGGGTAGTTTCCTTTGCCAGTCAGCCTGTTCTGATGTTCTCCAATGTGTCTAACAACAACAGCACTTGCTTTAAGTGGCAGCTCCTGACCAGACTCCTCATCTGTTTTCTTGGCACATGGGCACCTTTTGTTCTTCTTCAAATTATCATTTTGTTTCTTGGTGCTCGGATTCCAGCCTACATGGAGATGAACGTCCCCTGGCTGTACTTCATCAACAGCTTTCTCATCGCAGTAGCATACTGGTGTCGACGTCACGATGTTGAATTGACAGAGGAGATGTGGTCTACAGATCCATTTGTCAGCTGGAAATTCTGCTTTATGCCATTTAACAATGAAAACACAGAGCCATCTGATAAACCAGGCAGAGTAATTGTAATCTGTTAATGAGCTGCTGACTGAAAAGACTGCAAATCAGTGCTGTGCGACACAAGTGTGTGCTCTGATGTTCTGTGACCGTGTCCTTACAGATAATACAAGGAAACGTCTCCAGAGCTACAACCCATGGAAAAAAGTCCATCATCCACCCATATTGTAATGAATATTGCACCAGAGTGTGCGACACTGCGCAACTTCCACACTGGGTTCCAGTGGGCAGTAAGCCCCTGCCAGTTCAGAGAATTTAACTTGAAAGTACGGGTTTAAGAAAAGACCACTACTTACAAAAAACAAGTTTTCAAGTTAAACCTTATGTTTAGTACTAGAATTTTACACTTGCTTTAAATTGGAATGATCTTGGGGTTTATAGTACAAAATGCAATAAAGTCATCTTCAAAGCTGGAGCCCTTTTATCAGTTATGTACATGTGTTAACCTACTGTCAAAGGTTCAAACAACTTCTGTGATTTTTTTGAAGTGTGTTTTCTTGTTAAATGTGACTTTTTGTCAGTTTAAGTTAAACAGACAACAACCCTTAACAAGAAATAAATTGTTTTAGTTAATGTAAAGCTACAACTCCTACAGAAATATAAACTTTGTTTACATAGTACAAAAATAGTACAAGATGTGCAACTTCCACAACTACAAGAAAGGTGGTGATGTTTCATTCTTTCTTTGCTACTTCTCATCTAATGTATATATTACAAATTAAATAGTTAGTGAGAGCAACAAGGTTAATTGCTATACATAAATACATGCCCAAGGTTAAAGAATGGCTTAAATTAAAATATAATTTATTTTGAAGCCAAAATTACTTTAAAATTAGTTAAATTTGAAGTGGGACTGCTTCAGCAAGAGAAGGAGTAGTCAGGCTGTAGCAAAAGTACTCAAAGTTTTCAAATTCTTACAGTTTTATGACAGTCTCGATTTAATTTTGTAGAAGAGAAAAAAAGATACACAACCAAAGCAGACAAATGGAAGTAGCATTTATTTCTGAAGCACTGAACTCACAATACAATGTTGTACTGAAATAGAAACTATGTAAGTAAATGATGCTGTAGGTTGGTTAATCATTCACCCAGACCCACAGGGAACAATGATATCACACCAGAATACTCATTAAGAAAAAATCTGCAGATAACAAAAGGTGCAATTACAAGCAAGTTTAAGCAGCATAGTATAAGGTGCTTTGTTTCAGCATTTGTATGATGAATTTACCCATTAACAGACAGGTTAAAGAAATTTCACTTCTACAGATCATAACAAATGAGAGAATCTAAAATTCATTCACATGCTAGTTGGCAATAGGAAAGTGCTTTTTAAAAAAATGATTCACAAAGATCGTATTTTTTACATAGTTCACTATGTGCTCTTCAACTGTAAAATTTAATTTTTGGGTTATAATTTAATGAGAGAATTAAAATTCATTCACATGCTAGTTGGCAATAGGAAAGTGCTTTTTAAAAAAATGATTCACAAAGATTTTTACATAGTTCACTATGTGCTCTTCAACTGTAAAATTAAAATTTTGGGTTATAATTTATTATATATCAACTATAGATATAGATTTAATTGCAGAATTTAATGCTATGTGGGCTAAAATTTCTTGTAAAAGAATATTCCAGTATATGATTCACAAAGATCGTATTTTTTACATAGTTCACTATGTGCTCTTCAACTGTAAAATTTAATTTTTGGGTTATAATTTATTATATATCAACTATAGATATAGATTTAATTGCAGAATTTAATGCTATGTGGGCTAAAATTTCTTGTAAAAGAATATTCCAGTATATCACTCCATAAGAATACACAATCACATCTCAATCATATATTAATCTTACATTTCTGCACTATATCAAAGACCAATCATCATTCTGATTTATTACTTCACCCCATATAGTGCTTCTTTCACCCACAGTCTGTGGTAAATTTCTTTAAGGTTTCAGTGATGTAACCAAAAGGACATGAGCATTTTTAAGAAGTAGAAAATAGTTTGGAGAAAATTTGTTAAAAAGGCCATTGAAAGGACAGTAAATGATCAAAACCGGAATTTTAAAACTAGTGCAATAAGAGGAGGCAATGCTTAGCAACACAGTTTGAAGAGTTTGGCACCACAAATTATTTCATCCTTTATGCTGGAAAAGGTATTTGGAGGAAATTCTATTTCCATGTTAAAAGTAGGAAAGCACGTACAATGTTAACTTGAAAAACAAATCTTAAGCAATCACTCCCTGCTCTCTCAAATTGTAATTGCTGTTATTTAGCGCTTGAGAACAGCATTTCTTCAGGTTTTATATAAACTGGACACCCACTGAAATGGGGTTGACAAACTTTACAAAACCTAATGCCATTTAAAAACCAGCAAATATCTCAAATATAGTAATGCACCAGGCATTTCAGAAGATCATGACGTAACTAATCCCTACAGACTCAGAAGGCAAGGGAAAATTCCTAATTTAAAATTCATTTAACACCAGATGAAGGCAAAGTTATTTTCAAGAACATGCGTTTCAGATGCTTCTGTTTCATGTGGTTAGTCTCACCCTTCTGATTCATTAACGTATACAGAACTGGAACTGCAAGACGTTGGGGTAAGGCTGCTGATGTATTTTATTTACCAGCGTGGTTCAGCTTCTCAACCTGTAATTAAAGTTTACACACCTCCATCTATCCTGATGTGGCAGAATTCCCATAGTTGCTGCAGTGCTTCTAAAGCCATTTTAAGTTTTTAACATTTTGTTTTTTACAGGGAAGCCACAACATGCAGCCAAAGCAAATATTAATGTACTGATGTTAAATCAGTGTATTACTATCAAATTCGTTCTTCCATGCTCTTTGGGGAAAAGTGCCAAAGAGCATCATCCTTTAGGCTGTCACTACACCCACCGAGTAGGTACTAGTGGCACTACAGGTCTTCACATGGCATCCAACTGTGGCATCTGCTAAGCAACTATTTTAAAATACATTAATAGTAGCTCTCTTTGTAAGCCCACTTTTATCCTTGACTTTTTATGGAGGGAGATACCAGTTGTGAAGTGATCTTTATCCTATTACCCTCCTGACGACTAAGTCTTCCTCTGCATTTTCTTTTATCTAGCGTTTCTGGGAAGTCCTAACACTGAACCTTGAGTCCAGCCATATAACCATAAACCATTACTGTGTAGAACAGGATTACAGTTTCACTGCCAGACGGAAAGAGGAGAGAAGCTATGCTAGGAAGGTGGTAATATCTGAAATAATAAGAACTACAGACAACCACTGCTGTTATCTCCTCTGTACGTTACTCCTTGCGCTGTGCCAGCAACTAATGGCCTTATACCATTCAAATACTTTACAGTCTTTAATTCTTATAGGATTATTTTATATTAATGGTAACAGCGGCTAAAGTGTTAACCCTTTATGAGAAACTTCGGTACTTTCCTCATATAAAGAATCCCTTAAAAATCAACATTGATTTTAATGAGATATTCTATGTGTTTTCAACTCTAAATAGAAGTATTTGGCACTCATTAATAAAACCCTTCATTCTTTACACTCATCTTTCCTGATCAGTACTGGTTTGCTAACACTGTAACACAAAGACTACTTAAAAAGGAAGTTGGGTGCGCAGACTATCTCATTGTTCTTTCAAGCATCGACTTTGCAAAAAGCTGCCAGAGGATGGCAACATCCTGGCTGCCGATACGCTGGCCAGGTAGCGGAGGACAACACGAGTCTTCCCACAGCTTGACCAGACTTCACCCACAAAGCAGATAGGCCTCATGAATCAATTATATTTGTGCTTCTAGCCTAATCCCATAATCAGCAAGGATACCCTGATTTAGTACCTATGAACAATTAAGCCTTTCAACAACCCTACGTAACAATACAGTGCTTTTTACGCACAATTAAAATGCTCCTTAAGTGTTATGTATTGCACTTAAACGATACTTATGATCACCATTCTATGAATGTACAATTGTGCTCAAATTCTAATTCTTTCTAGATGGAAAAAAATCTCTTCAGACCTCCTTTTTCTAGCTCCTTAACTGGATAATTCAGCAGGAAGCTAATACATGCTGGAAGTTTAAAATTTTTTAACTTGAAATCTGTTCATAACACTGACTCCCAGAACTGTGCTTTGGAAAAGTTAGATCAATGGCTACAAAAGCTAAACTATAGCTTACTACATACCTTCAATTACAAGCATATTCACGTCTTTGAATTTTGTTTTTTCCTTCCACTTAGCTATAAGAGATCAGCACATAATACGCACAGCCTTCAAGTGAATGAGCAGGTGTGTGTAAGTTTTAATGTAGAGGTTACACAAACCTACACAGCAGCTTAGGATGGGGGCCTTGAATACATGTGGAAGTGCTGACCATGAGACCCAGGGGACAAGTAGGACACAAAATGCTCCAGCCAACACAGCTGACACCCAACAGGGCAAAAAGCACATTTAGAAATCTATATGGAGAAGGAAATGGCACGTGACAGAGCTCCTCCGAAGTTACAAAGACCGTAAAAACAAATCAGCCTGACTCATATGGATTAGGGTAATGTGTGCTAACTGCTTTTGTATTCAGTCTATGTCCCAGGCTCTGACTGCAGGGTACAGGCTGTCCATCAGCTCAGACTACATTAGGGACAGCTTTTTGAAAAAGTAGACATAGCATCTACACAGCAGGCACTTATCTGTACACCGTAATTACCATCTCTTTTTCGAATGTCACTATTTGCAAAGCCATCCAGTGGATATAACTACATAGAACCGACAGGGTCCAAATAAAGTCTCATGACTAAAGGCAAATTCCTTTAAAATGGACTTAATTTAAGCTTAGCTTAAATGAACTAAGCATTACATGAGTTTAAATTTCTTTCTCCTCACAATATTTCCTGTCTGAAACTACAGCTCACTGTGCAAGTGACTTAAAAATTAATTCACTACGAGCAATTATTAACACCTTACATTGAAATTACGCATTTATAGCTCTGTCCATACCTGTTCCACTCAGCATTCAACAGAAACAGTATATTTAAAACAAAATACTTTAAAAATGTTAGTTTCTCTCCCTCTCTAATAAACTAATTTGGGTGAATGTTAAAAAAAAAGTATCCTAGATTGATTCTTTTGCAGAGTTATTATCTGCAGCCTAGAACAACTGATGAGTAAAAGTCTGGCTAGTGAGTGACAACTATATATCTAAATACATGCTAACAGGAAATCTCTGTACAATACTGGTAAGAAAATAACCCTGCAAGCTTTTATACACGTGCTTAATTTTAATATGAATAGTCTCAATACAATCAGAAGAACTACTTGTTATAAATTATGTAGATGTCTAATTATTTGCAAAACCAGGACTCACAGTACAGCTATCATTGAATTCTTTGATCACTTAGAGCTATACTTTCGTCAATGTGTAAGAAATTTCTTAAGCTATTGAGCTGTAAGCTTCCACATTAATACTGTGATACCAAAATGAGAGCAGTCATCTGAAATAGGCATTAGTTTTACCCGGTATGCCAGGGAGCAAGACACTACACCCAGCAAACTCTCACTACATAAACCTGCATTCGAGCTACAGTTAAGAAATGGTTTTATACCTAAACATTTCCTTACAGCTAAGATCGAGATAAAGCGATCCAAAAGCTATCGTAAACCCGCTCAAATACTTATTTTTATCCCATTTCTTTCCTCTTGCTGCCACATCTGCAGTTATGATGGACTCCATCTGTTCTATCCAAAGGGCTGGATTCCCACTTGTGATTTGTCCAAAAAGAAGTTAGGGGGAAAAAAACTGCTTTCACAGGAAAGAATGAGGAAATGGATGCTTGCAGAACATGAACCTTCTATTTGAGGTATCTCATTGACACAAATCTAGAAAAGGTTGTACCCTCCATCAAGAACTTCATTTCTGGAAAAAAAATACGATGTATTAATGGGTAAAGAATGGATTTACAATGCAGTCTGTTTAAAAACCCTTCAAACATTCTCTGGTGATCCAAGCCAACTGACAGTTTAACTAGACAAGATGGTTATTTTTCATTCTCTATACAAGCAAGGTGATAAAGTCTTATGAATGTGCCAAATGTGAGGCAATACGGGTTGGCTGGGAGAAGTTAGCAATTAATTTGCAATGCTTGTTTTTGAACAAGGAGCAACCTAGAGCTCCCAGAGAACTTTTGTCAGTGGAGGTGGCCGAGCTTCCTTGCTGGAGTTCTCTGTTTCGGCTGCAAAGCAGGGTTGCTGAGCGATATGAGCCAGATTAAACAGGGGAGTCTGCATACCCATTTTGACCATTCAGGTGCATTTCTTTAAAACCCCAAATAAACTCTGAAGCTGAGACAAGTGTAATAGTTATAATTCTATTGGAAGAAATCTTGACAGTCACATTCAGCCCAGTGCTCTGCAAGAGGGTTTTGCCCTGAGCTAATGCTGCAGTTTGCATTAAGGAATAGGGTAGGATGGAGACCAGCGGAGAAAAAGGAAGGGAAAAAGCCATCCAACATATCTCCCCCTTTTGAGCTAAGATCCTATGGTGTCCTGTATTCCTTTCTAAAGGAATTGAAACATTGCAGGGACTACCGTGAGATGTAGCCCACAACAGCAGCAGTCTGACTACAGAATACAAAACCCCAGGAAATAAAGATGATAAAAAGGATTTCTTGTAGACACATCCAGTGGGAGCAAGCGTTAAAAAACAGTCAATTAAAATCTGCAATACTTCCTCTTTTGCAAGAGGGTCTAGCTTAATTTGTGGGGAAAGCCATGGAAAATGGTAATATAAACCTGGGAAAACCTCACTGATCTAAACAGAAACAAGCGATTGGTATGCAAAATGGTTCCGGAGGAATATTACTCTAAGTATTATATTGCTTTTCTGAGTAAATTCAAAAACTCCTGAAGTAGACTTTAGTTGCACTTGGAAGTTTTCCAGCCTACTTTCATGTACAGGTGTGATTTTTTTTTTTTAAACTGATTTTATTGACACAGCTATGCTGGCAAACACTCCAATACATGTGCATTTCTATCAGTATAGGTTAGCATAGCTGTGTCTGCTTTTAAGTTCCTGCTTAATGCCAAAATCAGTGAAGGAGAAAAAACTTTCAATATGCATAAGGCCCACATTTTTAGCCGCTGCATTCATGAATATTTAAAGTATAACTCACTATCTGTGGCTCTCCCAAAACCACAGAAATGTAGTGTACCAGAAGAACCAGAACAGACGTGCATTAATCAGGTCTACTCTGAGCTCCTGGCATCTGTCAGTGATTATGTCTGAGAGTCGTATATAAACACTAGCTGTAGAAGTTCTCCTGAAAGCTAATAAAGCAAAATTAAAACAACCGTGAAATTCTCATGCATGTAACAACACTGTGATTAACTGCAGGTCTAAATAAGACTCATAACATAAGTCCACGTTTTCAAATATGCCTTAAGCCACTATCAAATCACATTTACTTATATCTACTTTTTACATTGCCAAAGAACAGTACAATCAGAAGACAGATTAGAAATTAGCCAGTGAAATTTTCGTATAAAAATAATAAAACTTTAAGACAAAAGCCAAAGGATAAATATCTAAGATATCTTTAGTCTTCAATTAGCTCATCAAAACAGAACGCATCCTTTAGAACTTATATTACAGATATGCTACACAGTGTATCTTACAGAAATGCTACAAATGGGAACCTACTGTCTCCACAATTTGAATATCTTTCAAATGAACGTTGCCAAACATTGAACCTTCAACTAAGAAGTTTATTTGACAACAGTAACTGAAGACAGAAAAAACAAATTAGAAAGTGCTTAGCAACTTCCCTCCAAAATAAACCCAGACATCAGTTAATTCTCTAAAGCCTTTGGTGCCATTTGGAAAAGGGGTCTCACCACATACTAGCACGTAACAGCAATGGGTTGTCCTAACTTGGAGCTTCAGTGGTTAATAAAAATACTAATAACATCTGCTATTAGTAAGCTCAAACAGTTGTAATTAAAAACAATGATTCTAATGTTGATCTCTGGAAGATAATGGTAGGAAGTCTGTTAATAGAAACAAAGCAATAGTCTAATTAAAGGAAAATGAAGCACAGATTTTTCTGTAATCCCAATTTACTCTTTAAGGTCATCAGTTAAATAATATACATATTAATCTACCTGTCATAAACCTTCCTTTCAGCCAGTGTATGCGCATTGACTCCTTTTGATCTAGGTCAGCAGTTCTCAAATTTTAGATCAGTTCCTCTTCTTTTCAGGAATACTTCAGGGTCGCCCTGAATATCTCCCCACACATCATATATTATGCATTAATTTGCATAAAATACAAAATACATTATTTGCAGACACATACACATATTTAATTCAAATATACACAACGACTCTATCAGCACACATACCCTTCTTTCCCTATACAAGAGCTTAGGGATCTAGATCTGTACATAAGGGGAGTGGAGCTGCAAAAGGGAGGGAACAGAAGGTACAAAATACATCCACAAACATCCGTACACAGGTGATGGGGAAACAAAGGCCGAGAAGGCGCTGCTGCCTCAGACCCCAAGCAGCTTCTGAGAGTGTCAGTAACTGGGGAAACATATATTTGTTCCACATAGAGTGCAAGAGAGGGAAGACAGAGGGAGACACTAAAATCCCACTGCCCAGGTCTGCAGCACCTAAGCCAAAACCTTCTGCCAGAGGGACAAAGCAGGGCCCCTAGAGATTTCTCCCAGAGTTGCCTAGCAGTGGCACTCCTGCCCACCTGCAGCTCCAGACTCCCTCACTGTGGCAGTAGTTGCTCCTACACCGAGCTCTGAAAGGACCTCATTGAGCAACTCACTGTGCTCCTTCCTCAGGCTACTGCAAGCCCAGCTCACGCTAGCCAGTGGACAAATAAAAGGTGCTTGGAAACTTCCAATGAGGCAATGGGAATGCACTACAGGGAAAGACAAGTTACAAGAGGTATCAAGAAAAAGAGCATCTGAGCTATGCTATCCCTTCTCTACCTCCAGTCTTTAAAGTACCCTTGTCTCAACATGAGCTAGTTCTGGCTGCAGTTTTCAGCCCCTCATGCCTAGGCATTTGGGAACCTGAACCCTGAGTGTTCTCACACCTTCTCAGGATCCACTCTGAACCCACATTTGAGAACTGCTGGTCTAGTTTAACTAGCAGCATGCGAAACTACAAACCTAGCAACTTAATGCCCTCTTAGTGCATAGCAGCATACAAAGAGTAAAGTAACATGTGCTTCAGTTACCTCTGGCAAGAGTGTCATGCCATTGCATTTCAGTAGCCTGATTATGAGGATTTTGATGAGACGTCTACATAGTTTATAGTATTTCCAGACTTCAAGAAAATACTACAGTGGCAGAGATGAGGGTAAGCCTACACAAGGAAAACTGGCTGCCAACCTACCCCTTACAAACAATTTGCTCAAGACTAAAAGAAACTCAGAGAGCTCAACTAAATGCATAGCATTTTACTGTTATTAGTGCTTCCACAGCGTCTGTGGACACTTCTGTTATTTCAGTCCAAAAACTGCTGTATGTGGGAAAAATCTTTCAGAATACAGCAACACAATTTAAATGGCGTTTAGACTGGGGTGGGTGCTGGGGTGTTAAACTTATAAGATAAAGTACATGTTGGGGAATATTTAACCTATCACCGCATATTTCATTTCATGTTTTTCCATGAACTCCCACTTCAACTCAAAGTATTACTCGGGCTTTACCATGAACCTATTAATTGTTTGAAACTACAGAGGACTACCTGGTATAATCAAAGGAACATTTTTAAGTCTTTACGTGGGGAAAACCCCATATATATAACAAAACGTTACAGTAACACTCATGCCACAGTGAAGATGTTGGCATATTACTGTTGATTCTGTCACTGAGAAACCGTTGCTTAAACCTTCATGTTCACCCCCTAGGATTCCTTCAATGAATTGATACGTGCACAGATTTTCAATGCAGGTCCAAGCTTAATATTCATTGCACTCATAAGGTGATCCTCCTTCAACAAGAGGAGAGCTTGTCCATCAATTTCTTGTGCTCTAAATTCATCCGCAATATCTTGACAACCTACAAGGCAACAGAAAAAAAAAAAAAATAACGGGGTAAGAAATGTGCATTCTTAGATGCAATGACTCTGTCCATGCTAGAGCTTTTCAGCTACACAATTTCCAATGCTTGTCCCCTTAGCCTGTGGAACCTAAGGTATATGCCAGAGTTCAATATTACGATGGCAACTTCCAAGATAATCTGACAGTAATTTTTACTACAGCCTCTAATTACACTGTAACTGTTGGAGAATTACTCATTGGAAATTTCAAGTCCTAGCAAAGACAGCTTTCTCATTTCATTAAGAGGAACAATCGCCATGATCTCACAATTGGAAGAGACTGGCAAAATACCACTGAAATAGCAATCAAGTAAGAACATAATTCAAGTGGGTTCTTTCCATCAATAAAAATATATGTGTATTCTACTGCTATGTACCACTCAATAAGAAAATTCACTTAACACCTTTTGGAAATTGTAGCTAATTCCATCTGTTACCACCACTGGGTTAAGTAAGCAGAATTTTGATTTATGGGCTTTAGCATAACTGTCTCATGAAGACATTTATCATCAGTTACCTGAGTGAATATTCTATGCACAGCAGTAAGTCACTTCACAAGTGCAACTTTAAACTAGTTGGATTTTTTTTTTTTTTAATGATAAACTCTTCAGTATCCTATTCAGTATCCATGAAATAACATGGTCTCAGGTTACTGAGGCCTACAACATAAGAAAGGGACTCTTCGTGGGTTAGCCTGTCCCAAGTAACTGAAGGCTCCTTTCCACTGAAGAACACTGTGGAAACAAAAGGTTCCTCAAAAGATGTTATGGACATCTGTTAAGCAGAAACAGTCAGTTATGCTGGCTGTATAGCAGCTCTGTTATATGGACAAATGCCTTCTAACAATGTGAATAATAGCACTCGTTGTCAGTTGTTTATTTGAAACTTCTTTCCCCATAACCATGTTTTTCCTGTTTTTAATATGTTTGTGTTCTGAATCCAGTGGTCTCTCTCTCTCTCAGAGCCTTTCAGGTAGATTTTAATTTGTATTCCACCTTCCATTCCTGATTTTAATTATTCCTTGGTTAAGCCTATTTTTTGGCACTTTTATATTTTCTCCTTTTCTAAAGGGATACTATTACAGAGGTATGAGAATACTCTGAAGAACTCCTTTTCCACCCCAGATGAGAGCAATTGACTAATTTCATGTCCTCTTGTGTGTTCAGATTTAAATTCTATAAAGAACAGATAGTCTAATTTCCTGATGGATTTACAAATGTGTAAGAAATAGAAAGGAATCATGTAAGGAAGTATCGACATCCAAACCTTAATTCATTTGGATTATTACTGTGTAGTGGTCGTAACATTCAAGGTCGGAAAAGGTTAGCTTTTCACAAAGAATAAAGCCTGATTTTTTTCTTAATGATTTGTTAAACAGACCTCATGTAACCATTAGCTGCCACTTTATTAAGGAAAGGAAAAGACTAAAAGATAATTTGAAAAGAGAAAGGCCGTCTCGTGGAATTTTATTGCAGCCTCTGGTTTCAGGCTAAACCCCTGTAGTTTCAGTTACAACTCTATAAACTACAATCCCAAAAGTATAACAGTTACTCTGTAGCAGCTGGATAACTTTTAATCAAGACTAAGGACTACTTTGCATAGCATTTAAAATGAAGCAGCTTTAATACATGATAAATGCCCAGTTCTTGGGCATTATTTATTGTAACAAGAAACTAGAGTGGTATCTTTTGGAGGAAAAAAAACCCAACAAATTAGTTTGTCACAAACAGTATTTATACAGCCACTAAAGCCATTAAAATGTTTTATGGCTTGCATGTATTCCATAACATTCACTTTTAATATTTCTGGTACAGTGATGCACTAGTGCAGCCCAGCTGTACCACAATCAGTAAGAGAACATTCTTCAGGAGCCCAGAGTTGTCACAGAGCTCCTGGAATGGTGCTGCCAATTCCAGCTACAAAGTGAAGATAATGCTGCTGGAAACACGAAGAGAAAATCTTAAGATAACTGACCATTCTCAGGAGGATTTAACAGCTCTAACATCATCATAAAGGTTCTTATTTATGTGTTGACAACAGACAAAATGTCTATAAGTACTAAAAGTAAGTATTTCTGTGAAAGGTATCACTGTACATCTGACTTGAGACCTGAACATGGTGATTGTCAGACCACAGCATTTACAAAGAATCTGAGAGATCAAGAGAAGTTTTTGCATTTAGGAACAAAAGTTGCCCTATTAAAATAGATAATTGGTTGTTGTTGCAGGCTTTTTTCTTTAAGCAGGACATGAAGCATTTCCATGACACTTTTCCTGAAATACCTTTTCTCAAAGTCATTTTGGAAAAGCAAAGGATGGAAGTTGAATGTATTTCAGTTCCCTCATCCAAGAACATTTGGGTATTCTTAAGCACTTTCGCAATTGGTTGTTGTGCAATTATTGACTTATTAATGTTGACTTAGCTAAAAAAAAGAATGGGAAGCGGGTGAAAGACCATTAATCTTGCAACTGAAGAAAGAAAGGAGGAACAACTCTGCTGGGGCTTAAACCGCTGCTGTCTCTTCCCCCCAGAAGAAATAAGTAACAGTAGAAGTGTCCTACAATCTTAATTTCTCCAAAAGACTCCAGAGGAATTCAGGAAAAGCCTGACAAGGACACTTGACTCCGCAGTTAGATCTCAGCTATAGACTCTATGCAGAAAGCTGTAAATCAAAACAGATGTCCCTGATGTTTATGAAAAGCTGACAAATCACCGCCTCCTACAACATGGCAGATGGTCTGTATGGACTGCACCAAGTATCTATTGCAAAATAGCATAATGAAAGTCAATTATATTATTTCTTGTATTATTCAACTCTGACAGCATATGAAAAAATATTTTTTCAAGAGTGGCTTGAGAATATGTTGACCAGAATAAACCCCAAAATTGCCAAAAAATATGAACGTAGCTATGTAACAATAAAAATTCTGGCAGGTTGTGAATACAATTTTAAATACCTATTGAACTTTTTTAAAAAAGTATTTGAGAAACTAGGCCTTAATATGGATGGGAATGAGTAATTATAATAAATTTTCATGAAATGCAGAAAAATACAAAGTTTGTTTAAAATCAAAGATTACCTTGTTTACAGAATACAAAACCCCCCAGATCAAGCAGCTGGTGAAATATTCTACAAGTAATGGTTTCAAAACAGAAACCACATTTTAAGAATAATATTTTTGTTTTCGTACTTGCAAGTGAATTGTGTTTATGTGGTACTTTAAGTTTGCTAGGACAGGAACTATTGTTTATTCTTTTGCAGAACCTAGGATCAGGAAGTTATTGAATTCACTAGAGCCTCAAATCTATAACAATAGTAACTCAAAACAGGAGTGATATAGTCATACTCCAGTAACACAGCTAAAGCACAGAAACATGAATGACTATGTCTTAAACCTAAGGAGCTTTGCTTGTTTTTACAGACATCGCTGCAGGTTCCCAGAAGCAGATAATGTAACTTAATTGCAATTTATAAACCATCAGAAGAAAGGTACTTCAAGGATGACTTTTGCTGATTTAAGACATCCCTTACTCAATTCTTTGCCTGACCTACTTCATAAAAAATTAACTGTCAAAACCCATGTGTATGACTTAGCAATGAAGATACATTCCTTACAGGTTATTAGCCTAATGGGATACACAGAAAAACGGTTTAGCATTTCTAAACTAGAAAATTAGGAACAAACTTAACCTGGGTTTCAATGTTTTGACATGTGAGTTACATGGGTAAGCAACAAAAATTCTTGTATGACTGCTATTATGGAGACCTGCCTTGTTACCTGAAAGGATTACAGTATCTGATCAGACAGAATGGCATCCTTGGGAAAGAGGGGGGAGTGGAACTTTAAAGCTTATGATAGTTAGGAAATGATAAATAATTGTCAAATAACCTGAAGCTGATATAAAGGTAACTGTGAAAATTGAGCTAAAGAAAAGGTTTGGAAATAAGGAGAAACAAGATTATTTTTTTCCGATAACAGGCTGTGTCTGTCTATATGCAGAAGTTATCTTCACTTCAGTTACCGAGCAAAGCTACGCAAAACAAAGTTTAGCTTTATAGAAGAAACTAGCTTATTCTTTTTTAATGACTTATATCAGTACAGGTCTTTCAAATTTTTTAGTTGTATAAAGGGAAAGAACTCCCTTCTTGCTTCTTCTACTGAATAAGCAGCAAGTAAGGAGGGAAGAGAAGAAAAATGTAAAAGGGAAGTGTGTCTGATCTCTCTACTGACCTCTTGAGAGAAGTCAGACTGAAGGGAGGAACAGCTCTAATCTCCATCAGCTGGGATGCAACAGCAGAAGTGGGACTAGTTCTATCAACATGGGATTTGTGCTGAAGGAACAAGCAAGAGGAAACAAATCACATTCCAGTTTCTATCACCAACTAATGACTATGCTAGTGCTGTAACCACACCAACTCATCACACCAATGCTAAAAAGCAAGGAGCTGTACTGTTAAAAAAAATGGAACAAGTTATTGCACATACCAGGCAAAGAATGTATGAAGGCCCAAACTTCATCAACAGTCCATACTGATGGGTCAGCTTGCACCACTGGTAACAAGTCAATGCTCTCTGGCATTTTCCTAATTCTTAGTTCCCTAAGTTCACGTTCTCTCTCTCTTTCACTCTGTCTTCGCAGACGGGTGGTCATGGCAGCTGGAACAGCATCTTCATGAGAAGCCATATCTTCTTCTGCAGATGGATAAGTAATTGGAAGCTGGAAAACGTAGTACAAATACACTACAGTATTACATTTTTTTGGTAATTCCCAAAACAATGCCATAGTTTTAAGCAAATACTCCACAGACCTGTCTAAGAAAAGGATCTCGTGACGCCCCATCAGGGCCACTCGGTCGACGCCCGCGTCGCCCAAGACTTTGGCTATCCGATTTCCGATTCCAGCGACTGGTCTTGTCTGATGTAAACAGCCCAAATTTCTTAGTGCAACTAAGGCTGTGCCTAAAGAAGTAAGATATATTCAGTAATGCATTAATAGTTTTTTGGACTGCATTCAATCAAGTAACAATAAAATTACATTGTTGTCTACAGAAATGCTGCCTAATCAAAGACAACAACAGGTGTCACAAAAATGTAAGAGAAAGGTATCTCAAAGGCCATTTACTCAAACCCCTTGTCTTGGTGCAAGATCAAATACACCTCAATCATCCCTGGAAGATGTTTGTCTTTCCCATTCTTAAAAATTTTCCATGATAGAAATACCTTTGCATTTTATCACATAGTCCAATCCTGCTTCTCTAAAATGTCCACTAAAAGCCTGAAGTCACGTTACATCTTTTACTTCCATTTTCTCTACCTAGCTGATACCCAGTCAAAGGCGGATGGAGGCAAAAGGGCCAAATCCCTTCTTAAGATTATTTTGCTGGTAGTGTCCCAACAAGTACCAAATCAAACATATACATTCCCACTACTTAAAATGGAAATGTCTCACACTGGGGATTAAAAAAGCAGCAGACATACGAGAAAGGTGGTCTCAAGGCACGCTGATGCAAAAAAAGAACTAAGTGGTGATTAGAAATGGGAAACTATTCCCGATTTCTACAACATCTGGGTTTAAATATAATTTTTCCAGCTGTAATGATGGAAGATTTTACATTCAGACGTTGACTATGAATTCTTCCTCTCTTAACCAAAACAAAATAAAAGCAGCATACTAAACCCAAAGAGAAACAGAAAATAGCCATTTTCCTCTGCTGACCATGTAGAAGCAAATGGCATCACTTATTATTTTCAAGAAAGGAGAAGCTTTAGAAAACACTAAATTATTTATGTTTATGAATATTTCTATTTTACTCTATGCAAATAAATAAATTTTACACTGTTACTAAAAGTATTTAAGAAAGTTTTTTGTCTATGCAGCATTTCAATTACGCCAAGATAAATTCAGTAGTTTTTTTCCCTAGCATCACACAAAACTGTAAGAAAGCCCACCTAGCCCAGCATTCTTTCTCTGACATCCCCCAACATCAAGGGGAAGATAATACGAATATGAGAAATATGTAATGATTTGTGGCCCATGAACCTCTGCACCAATTTCCAAACACTTAGTAACCCCTAATGGATTTCTCTTCCATGATACCTGTTGCCTTCCTATAAGCCCAACAGCATTCACAGCACCCTCTGGAAAGAGGTCCACAATTTTACTGTAATTCCCTTTGTCTATCTTCTTGAAATATATTATAATCTACCATAGTCCTTTGTACACATATACTCTGCAAATTCGTGTAGAAGGCAGTCATGTTTTACTGTTTCTTTATTTTTCAACATCGGATACTATTTGGATGCTATTCCATTAACCAGATAATGATAAGCAATAACTAGACACAGTACCTTTTGGCACAGGATGTGGAGCAGAATCTTTTTGACCGTAGAAACTTATTAGCATATCCCATTTTTCCACAAAATTCACACTTCAGAAGATCATTTTCAATTTCATCCAGTCCCTCTAAAGAAAGAAGCAAGGCATAAAGAAGTCATTGGATGCTACCATTAACCAGATAATGATAAGCAATAACTAGACACAGTACCTTTTGGCACAGGATGTGGAGCAGAATCTTTTTGACCGTAGAAACTTATTAGCATATCCCATTTTTCCACAAAATTCACACTTCAGAAGATCATTTTCAATTTCATCCAGTCCCTCTAAAGAAAGAAGCAAGGCATAAAGAAGTCAGTTTCAATGACAAAATTATGTTCAAATTTCCCATCTCAAGCAGGCAGGTAGAAGATTTTCAAATACCTAACACATTTCACTAAATACTTTGATTAACAGAAAATTACGCAAACCTAAGCAAGTCATAGATTTCACACTCTATAGAAAAGATCTTGAGCAAACTGAACCTTAATGAACCTTCAATTAAGTTATTCCATGAACATAATCAGCTTTTTTTGTTAAATTTCAAGCCATCCATGAGCAAGTATGCCCTCAAACATAGCAAACAATTAAAAAGAAGTGTTACAGTCCTCATGAATTGCTTATAAAGAGTTCATTAAGAGAACCAGCCATTCCACGGTCTAAATTCAAGCTCTCCTGTAATGACATAATGTCATTTAGCCTTCTAAAATGCTTCCTTTGAATAAGCAAGTGCTACAACCAAAGGGACTTGTGAAAGCAAGTAAAACACTGAATCTTATCTACGAAAAAGATAAGCTGCATATAAGAGAAAAAAGGATTATAGCATCTACTGATTTACAGTCTACTGTTATAGAATATTTTTGTGTTATTGGTGAGATGAGGAGGCACTTTTCCTGCTCCTTGTGAAGAACTCAAACACCAGCTGAGAGAAGCATCAGTGAAAGAAAAAGTAGAAAAGCCCAAAAGAAGGCAGTACAAGGCAACAAGGCAGCATACACATCACATGCTGAATGTCTATGCTCTCTTCTGCTGGAAGTGTATTTCATGTATATAGCATGGTTTGTACATAGTTTAGAATAATGCCACCATATCTGAAAACCAACTTGACTTCTGGCATGGAAAAAACCCAACCCTCATCCCCAAGCACCATCTGTGAAATGCATGATAAGGACTGAAGGAGTGAAACTGGCACAAACCGAAATGTAACATTTTGTGCTCATTCAGGTTCGGAACTGCATGCCACATGGCTGCAATCATGGACAAAATACATTGTTCAAAAATTCAGTGGTCTAAACAAACACACATTTCTCCCACATTTCTAATACACTTGAGTCACTGTTTCATATACTTTGCCTCTTGCTATTCACCTACCGCTTTCGTACTTATAATTTTACATAATCAGTTGCAAAAATTGCAAACTAGCTTTTTGTTCTAAACTCTGTTAAGCTCTGATGCCAGCTAATGCAAATGCAGGTATCGAAGTTTAATTGAAAGATTTTAACTATGAATTTGTAAGAGTCTGTTATAGCGATGTTAACTCACTAAACTGCTTGCTAACGCTAACTATCATACTGACAAGGTAACAAAAAAACACTAGGTGCAGCAAAGAGCTGAAAATACTTAAAAGGGTATTTGAATAACGTATCTGACGTATCAGGACTCAAAGACATAACTGAAGTCAACAAATCCTCCGGCAGTGTCAGACTGAAAATTACCATGTTGCAAGTCTCCAACTTACTAAGTTGATCACACAGGAAGTAAAAACTGGAAATTGGAAACATACCAAATTTGACCAGCCTTGCAACTTAAGTTAAATACCAGAGATGCATCCTTCAAATAAATCACTCACTCTCTAAAAAGCAAAAAACCCTCACTCCCAATCCAGGTCATGCTATGTGGAAAAAGGTGACAACAAAGTGAAGAGAAAATTGATGCTAAGAGCCTTTTCTTTTGCATATTAAGTGTTTCTACCATACATGCAATCATACCCTGGTTTAGTATCGGAAAATCTCTTTTGCTCAACTTCTGCATATGTGGATATGTCTCAATGCTGTATGTTTCCTACTAGCTCATCTAATCAGTAGTTGCAAATTGTGTACATAAACCTAACACCAGCTGTCAGGAACAATAACTAAAAACAAAAACATGAATGTTTGAATAATTCCATAAAACAACAGACAAGCTGTTTGACATCTGAGAAACAACATAGTGTTAATACTGAAAAGTTCTTAGGGAATACTATTGAAAAGAAAACTGAATTAAGATCTACTGTAACAAATTAAGGACAAAATAACTATTGTAAACAGAGCTTCAAATATTCTAGAAGATACACCAGACAGCAAAAACTTTCTTTTGTTTGAAATATATTGGGTGAAACAAGGTATTAGAAGAAAAAAGCTGTACTCTTGATCAAGAAGGCAATATTTATTTAGTAGCAATTTACTAAGCACAGTCATGAGCCAAGAGATTTACAAGTCTCATTTTATGTGTAGAAAAGTAGTGTAACTCCATTGAGCTGTAAAATAACCAAAAAATGTCAAACAAGTCATACAATTTACCAGATGACTCTTTTTTTAAAGCCTCTTGTGCTTGATGCTTTCATGTCACTGGACTTCCCTCTCAAAGAACTGGTTAAATGGAAGCCCTCACTGGGAGACAATACCAAAAAATAACAGCAATTTTAAATTAAATGAAACAAAGGTTTAGAAAACTTCCAGTCACACTGCAACCCTTCACTATTAATATGCCAGATGCTTGCCTTCTAAAATTTAGTCTGCCACGCCTATGTGAAGGTTTGTGAAGAATAAGGTGCGGGCCTCAAGTTATTTTAGAGTATTGTGTAATATATTTAAAAAATGGACTCTAAAAATTGTTTCTTCATTTTTCTATGTAGACAATTACAACATGATCAAAAGAAAGTTACAGTTACAAAGCAAAGCACTTCAAATATCTGCCACTGCCTAAACTAGGCTGTTACTGTAAAAATTAAGAAGGGCTCTGGACTATACTGAGATATACTCGGAAATGCAATCATATAATCAGCCATAATTTAGTAAATCCTGGTTTATATTTCTTTTTCAGGCACTGTTTCCAGTTTCTGGCTTCTTTACACAGATGTTATATCCACATATAGGAGGACTGCAACCCATCAATACTTCCTTTCAGTGATATGCTTCCAAGCTAAACCAGCTCCTACTAAAAATCAGTGCTACAAGTAAAAATATACTCTTAATTTTAAGCTGAGATACATAATGCCTGAGCGGTAAGGTAAATCAGCCTCAAGCAAAAATTCCAACCATGTTTACTTGACTTCACTAGCAACAAATACTCTTCTTGAATTCAGAATGCTTTCTAAAGCAAGCTTTTTACCTTGTCTGCAGTCCTTGACTTGGGTCTGACGCAATACATTTATAAGCAGTAACAGATATAAATCATTGTGGTAAAAAATAATGTACCAGAATCTAACAATCTAAAAGACTGAATTTTGAGCTAATTTGTTTGCTGAGATACACAATGGATGCAGGCAACTTCCCTATTGCACTTCAGTACCATTCACCAAGGCAGAAACCACAGTAACTAACGAACTGCCATTGGTGTTGCTATCTTGAAAGTTCCTGTGAGAAAAGATCAGGGGAATGGACTGTTTTAATTAAGTGACAATTTATAATGCCTGGAGTGGGAAGCAGCTGAAGCACAGCTATGGTGACACTTGCTACTGCTCAGGACATGCTGTCCTGACTTTTTCCAGCCACTTCCCCAATGCAGACCTGTGGCAGTAGCAGACACTGCATTTGTCCCTTCTTACCCTGCTCACTGCAGTTTTGATATGAAAGAGGGAAAAGAACTATTTTAAGATAATGAAACTAAGAATTGCATTACGGCAAATTTAAACAGATCACCAGAAACAGCTCCTGTGCAATTGCTCAAGCTGTGGAAGAGAAAATCCAGAGGTGGCTGAAAAATTCTGGACTTTCAAATCCTGGATGAAATTATACAAAAATGTGAGTTAAAGAATAACTTGGCTTTTCTGGGCCAGGCCGTGGTTTAATTTCCATTTCATAACACTCATGAGGCTACCTACATTTGGGCTTGAACAGTAATAGTGGTGTAACACATCCCAAATAGTTGATTGCTGAGTTCTAAAAAATCCATGGTGATGATTATGTCAGATACTGCACGGGGAACTCAGTTTAGCTCATGAGTTGTGCCGGAGACCACTGTATTCTAAGCAGGACAAGTGCATAGTTTCTTGACATTTGTGTCTATCTACAGCAACTGCTGTTATGATGTGTAGCTAGTAAGAAACTATTTTCAAATGCTTTTATTAGAGATAGTGTAAAGACTGGAGAAAGATTCCAGAAGTACAGACAGGATGGGATTCTGTAATACATACAGAACTGAAGGGACAAAAAATGGATATTTAAACAAAAACTACAAACCTTCTGCAATCATATCCTCTATCTCTGTGTCCGACGAGTTGTCTGCATGTTTTGTATTCTGCAAGTCTGATTCAACACACACCACACTCATGATTTGACCCTCCACTAGCAATCTTTTTTCTGCAGGCTGTTCTACCAGCAAAGATGAACGATTTACCTATTGCAATAAAAGCAAAGCAACAGTGATTAACTGAAAAATGAGTAATTGAAAATATTTGCGACTTAGCAGTTGTAACGGAGACTAGAATCACAGTTTCTATTCCGTATCAATGAATCATTATTATATAGTACCAAAGCTCTAAATACCATTTCTCAAACAAATACAAAGATCCGCTCCTGCTCTGCAGAGTTTGCAATTACATTTAACAAAGGAAGAAACACATTCTATCTAGAGAAATGAAGGAATGGGAAAATGAGAGAAAAATTAAATTAGTTAATAAGGCAGGCTCATAGGTTTTAAACTGTCCATTTGTGGATCTAAAATTTTCAACAGCAATTCTTACCAGACACAGTACTAATCACACCAAGCTCAGTAAGGGGCTTGCCAGTGCTTTAAACAACAAAATTTTAACATTTTAGAATTTTGACACGGACTCGTCTCAGAGGTTTAAATTAAGGTATCACTTAAATTGAGGTATCTAGGAGACAGACAAATGTAAAACAAAGTTATTGCAAATGGTAGCCTAAAATGACTCTCTGTAGTTATCTCCAGATATAGCCTATCTACTCAACTGTGTCTGTTTTCATTTAGTACCTTGTCATCCAGTGATACTGGCAAGCCAAACAGTAGCATGAATTCCAATTATATACGTAACACAATACAAACAGTATACAAGTATGCTGAATGTTGTAAGAAACAGGCTACCAATCAGTGGAAAAAAAGTCAAAACCAACATTTGAAAAATGATTCAAGATCTAAATAGCTACTAACCACAAATAACATCATCCTTAAAAATAGGGTTTTTTTTTCAAAAATTAGTAGTAAAAAATTCATAGCAACTTTTAGGCTTACAGGGAACGGCTCTAATCCCTCCTGAATCACAAAGCCTTCAATAACATGGGTCAGGATCTGTGGTTTAACAATTGCCTGTGGAGGTTTATTTTCTAGGCTAGGAATGCTATTGGGCATTGATGTGCTGTTGCTCCTTGTTGTTGCTGCTGGAAGCAAAAGAGGTGGTGGTGGAATAGAGGCATGTGAAGGATCAGATGGAGATTTAATTACTGAGGCACTGACTGATGATGTCACTGAAGGTAGTCCCCCATGTTCTGAAAAAAAAAAAAAAGTATTATGTTTTTATCACTTACAGCCAACCGTTGGCTCAGAATTCTACAAATAAGAGATGATAAACACACCCATCTCTGCACCCGTTATCCTGTAACACAGGCTTTTCCCTATGGTTTATAGATTTTACCTTCAAAACAAGACGGTTTTCCTTGACAGACTATTCCACAAACTAACAGTTCTCATGTAAACATTTTCCTTTACTCAGACCTACTAACTATAAACATCGTTGGCCATTAATTACCTATACAAATCACAAATCCGTAAGTCAAAAGCAGAAAGCAGTATTTTCAAACATTGGATTCTCAAGACTGAGCAGCTGAGGGAGAGAATTTATTTTCAGGGATGCTTTGAGCCTCAGTAACCTGCAGGGTCACAAGTATATACAACATCAAGCCACTAAGCACCACTAAGCACCCGGTTATATGTATACACACTATACTATATAGAGAGAGTATATATTTGTATATTTAGCACATCGGGGAAGTTACATTAGTTTGCAGGACCACAATTGATACAGGCATGTATACCTTACAATTCACTGAAGAAAAATTTTCATTGGTAGCTTTTGCATTAGAAGAGCTCCTTACTGTGGCATATAAAAAAAGGTGTCAAAAAGAATCATACAATGCAGTCAACCATTCCAACAGCAACTTCTGATTGCTGACTCTAATTCTGCAAAATCAATCTTCACACCAGATCAGTCAGTGTATCTTGCCCATATCACACAGCTATAACTTAAAGATTAACTGAAGATTGACACTCCTGTTAAGATTTTAGTATAAAAGTATATGCTAAAGAGCTCAAATAAGCTTTTTCCATGCTACATGTTATCCAAATACATATATAAGACACCTTTGGGACTGAATAATTTGTTCTAGCACATAGATTTCTAATATATTTCATAGTTTCTTTTACTTAAAAAATGATACCACTAGATTATAAAAAAGATCACAATCATAGATTTTTATTTTAAAACATCAATAACTAGTAGAAGCTTCTAAGCAGAACAGCTGCCTTAGTTTGACATTTGTTCTCACCTGACAAAGGATCTTCTGAATTAAGTGCCTCTCCATTCCCCAAGGTTATGGCTGGTGGAGAAAAAGAGGGGGGCGGAGGGGGTAGCCATATGGACAGTCTGATTCCTCGGGCATCTCTTCTTCACATACATTCTCCACTTGGTAAATCTGCATCCAACAAACTATTGCTTTAGAGAGATTTCCATTCTATCTTAATACCTTGAAAGAGTTGCATAAATACAGTTTTAAAAATAAATTACTAGTTAAAATATGCTAATCTCCTAATAAAATACTAGTTTCCAAACTGCATAGAAAACAATGAACTCTGGGGACATCACAATGTCTATGAGAGCAAAATTAAAGTATTTTGTTACAAATAGCAAAATATAAAGAGGCACAGTTCTCCTATCAAACAGACCAGTGAACTTGACTTTCTCCAATGTCTTATCTTTGTAGTTTACTGTATTGTTATTTACACACACATTTGTAGCTATTTAAACACTTCTGCAAAATACAAGCCTTGTAACATAATGACAAGTCTGCAAATTGTTCTCTATCTTGTACAGCAGTGTAATCAAACTGAGTATTTCAGAAGAGTACACCAAAACTATCAAGCATGAGTGCTTATAAGAGATTATAAGGTATTTTCCTCAAAACTATTAAAGTAAATTTACATGAATTACTAACAGCCAGTTTAGCAGATTAGGATGTAAAACACCACCTTGTCAGAAGCAAACCTGGCTTCTACTCTTTTGCCAAATTTCTACATGAAATATCAGAGAGTGGAGATTATCATTACCCTCTTAATATAAATTAAAAATAAACAGCACACCTTCCTTAACCCATTGGTAGCCTGAAAAAAGCCTACAAAAGCTGTTGATTCTTTTGCTCACATTAATCTCCTTAGCATGTTACCACTAGAGCCTAGCAATGCCATCCTAAATGTCAGCATTATTTACATATCATTTTATTTCACTGATTTCACTGTACACAATTTTAGTTCAGTGTGAGTGAATCTTAAACCTTCAGTTACAAACTGCAGACGTCTGAGACTAACATTGAATTAAATTAAATGGCAGTGATAGGGAACATCAAGAAAGAATCAAAAATTCCCTTATTCTTTTATGAAGAGGATCTTTTCAATGTTAGTACAAAATTAGTTATCCAGAACTCTATTATCTTAATAATCTGCTATACACCTTCGCACCTAGTATAGAGATGATTCTCCTACTCAAAATTTCGATTGCCTATATTTTATTTGTATTAACATAAAGAGGTAAAAGCTTACAGTCCGTATGGTATATTTATCAAAATTCATTTTGACATAAGTGTTTACATATATTTACTTGCTTTTTTAACTTTAGATATGCTGCAATTTCATTAAGAGGTAAGATTTTAGGTCAAGAAGTTGCACTTCCATGATTCTTGGTTGATAGTCTTAACTGATGATCCATTACAAAAAGCCAAAAAAAAAAATCAGAGGAAAATGTCTAGTGTTTTCTTAAAACTCATTTCTGTAATCAACAGGTTTCTTCTGGCACTCTGTTTAGCACCTGGTTTAGCTCCCTCTGAAGTCAACGGGCCAGATTTACAGCTCTTTAGAGAAGCCAAGGATAAAGAATAAAGGACTGCAATATTACCACTTACCACTGGAGTTTCAATTGGTACCGATGGCTGCACCTGAAGATTTACTGCAACAGTCTGTGGGGGTGGAAGAGTTTGAAATGGCAGCTGGACCAAAGCTTCTGCAGCAGGAAGTTCTTCCTCAGAAACCAAAGTGTTTTGAACCAAAACCTGGCCCTGGGACAGAATTTCCGGCTGCACTTGTAAAGACTGCACAGACTGCAACGGCAGTTGTTGAATCTGGGTTGAAGATGTTGACAGCTGAGGAGGAGCTGCAAGAGGGATAGGTGTGGACTGCAAGGCTGAATATTGCTGGTGTGGTGTCGAGGACACTATCTGTTGGCCTGGGGAAACTAAGCTGGGCTGATCTACTGACCCTATATGTACAGTGGGGGAAGACGGAAGTGGAAGATGCGATGGAAGATTAAGTGGCTGTGCAATTGGTCGAACTGGATTGGTAGTAGTTTGCTGAGGAGCAGTCTGCTCTGGCTGAAGAGCTGTTGGCACAAGGGAGTTTGCCTGTGACTGAATAAGTGCTTGAGGGTGAATAATTATTGTGGGTGATTGACTAGGGGAGTGAGAAGGTGGAGGGGATACCACTACAGACTGCTGAGCTGACTGAGATGGCGTAGGAGATAGTGTCAGAGGTGGAGGATGGATGTGAATAGGTGAGCAATGAGACTGGACACTGCTGGGACCTGGAGGAAGACCATGGCTTGGGAGTGGTAGACAGTGCTGTGATGGAGGGGGTTCCTGACCCGAAGGAGTCTGAAGTGCAATTGGCTGGACTTGCTGCTGCTGTTGCAGTATCAGCTGATGATGGGAAATCTTTGGAGGTGGTGAATGAAGTGGGATGGGCTGATGTTTTACTAGAGAATGAGGTTGCAATGGAGAATATGAAGCTGTGAGGGGGGGGAAAAAAAGTGACAATTAGTATTTATTTCTTTAAGTCCAGAGAACATTATAAAAATATTAAAAGAAAGGAAGTTTTTACTTTAAAGTAAGACCAGCACAACTTTTTGAACCCTTCGGATCTATGTTTAGAAATATCTTCTTTGACAGCATATACTACACAAGAACAATTTATTAGGGGAATATATCAATTTCCAAAGCAAAATGCAGCAATGAATAAAGGAACATAGCCATGCTTTTTACATATATACACACATATAGGTACTTTCTATATGAAAGAATCTAAACTTATCTTTTTGGTGCTAGTTCTAAGATTATTGCTGATCCAGCCTTCGCTTATTTAAGAATTTAATGCAATTTTAAATGGATTTAACCTTTGCTTTGAAACAGACTGGAATGGAAGAGATAAGCATGTCACAATCACCAGGATTTGTTGATAACTGCTAAGTTATAGTTTAGGTAATAAAATTTTAAGAGACTAAACAAAATTCCAAGAGTTCAGTATGAATTAAAACCTTTCAAAGTATTTGCCTGAACTTGAACACACAAACTGAAAGGTATGAATCTAAAAATAGTGCAGCTTCCAGAGATATCACATCACCTTTAAGTGAACCAGTGACTCACTAGTAACTCCTTACAGCACATGCACACATTTTCCTCCACATGCAAACCGCTTGCTTTGACTTTTCCACTTGAGAAACTACTCACTTATGTTGCCTTTTTTATTATTTATTCTGCTAGTGAAGATGGATTTTTTTCCTTACAGAAGTGAGTTCTAAGAGCATCAGGGCTCAACACTTCAAGAATGTCTGCCTTGCAGTCTTAGTCCATCTCCAAAAGCTGCCATTAAGCCAAGCTAAATTCCACAGAATTCAGACCAATTGTCTAGACTATCCTTGTTCTTTCAAAATAAGGAAGCTAAAATGCAAATACATTGCATGCAATGTAAATGCTATCTAGCCAACTGCATGCTTATTTTGATTTCTCTCTTAATACAATATACCAAGATTCTGGGGCACTATTACCTATGGATTTATAAAAGTACTTGACATAACATTCTGATGACACAGAGAAGACAGAGAAAAAAAAGAACCAACAAAATAGATTTTGATGAGAGCAAGAGGCTTGAGATGGTTTCAGCCCACGTACTGCTTCCCAGAGATTGGGGACGACGTCCTGACAATGAGCATACAGAGAGACCAGTAATGAGAATCATGTTTGAACTGTGATTCAACTGCATATTGCAATTGCTATATTGTGCTTGTATTGTGACTTAAGAACATTGCTGTTATCACTCTGCTAAATCAAAATCCTGTGTAACATCCAATATCAACAAATAAGTAAATTTACTATCAAACATTAAACTCTCTTCATGTGAAATATCTAAAAGAACACAGTCAAAGAGCATTGGACTCTGACAGAACCATAACATACCGATTAACTTCAATTAAAATAACTTTCTTATAGCTCCATTTTCATCCTACCTGGTGTTATTAAGTGATGTATGCTTGATGTCCGTGTGACTGGTGTACTCCGACACTCTGGAGTTGGGCTTTCGCCTTTTCTATTGCTTTCTGATGGATCTGGTTGGCTGCCCTTGGAACTGGTTACAGGTTTATTAGGGCACAGAGACAATGACTGAGTTTGACTGCTGCTCTTTGGTGGGCCATTCTGTGAACTTGACAATACACCCAACTTCTGACTGCGCAATGTCAAGTTCTGAACCTGGGAAATGAGCAAAATGGGAAAAAACCCAAACCATAAACATCTATGACAAACACCAGGCAAAAATAGCAAAAAAAAAAAGTTATGTAATGCTTCTCATCCTATGTGATCAAAATACCTGAGAAGTTAAAAATCTGCATATCAAAGTATCTTTTAAGCCACAAAATTTAGAGAAGAATAGTGATCTTGAATTACTTCAGTGATAAAGAAAATACAGGAAAGTTTTCTCTTATTGAACGTTTAAAAGAAATGGAAATTGTTCATTACATTAATTTGAATTAAAACTTGCATTTTTTCTCTTTTATTGTGCCTTCAAAGTGAACGACACAAAGCATCTTAAGCAAATGCAATTTTATTTTTATACAGACGCTGCAGAAGTGCAGTGGTCTGTAAGTATGTTTGCAGAGACTAACATAAACCAGAGCCTTGGGTAGTCAATGGGACCAGAATCTGCTGTACGTTATCCATGTCTTAACAAACACATGCCCTTTATTTCTACGGCTATATTAATGTACCTTTTCATCATGACACCTCCAGTAACACATGAAACAAAAGGTTTCCCTTCTGAAATGTAAATCAGTCAGTGATTACTTTCACTAATGTCTGTTATACCACAGCAAGATTCCGGGCAGAATGATCCCAGCTTTCCAATCCTACATGCTGAGCTAGAATTTTATTTTCAAGGATAAAGACTACCCTCGTAGCACTAATTTACGTCATACTTTACATGAAAAAGAGGACTAATTATTATCACCATCTGCTATTTTGATTACATAATCCCTTCCTCATTCAACAGTTAGTACTTGTGTAATGAACAGCTAGTTGACATTTTATTTCTCAGTGTTCAGTGTGTTACCACAGGATGCATCTGAATCCTGTTCTGAAGACAACAGTATTTGTTTCCTTATTGGCATTCATGAGGCGTTTACTGCAATCCTATCTCTGTGAGTACAAATCAACCTTCAGCACACCTTAACAAATAAGAGAACTAATCTGAGATGTCCAGGTCATACATGAGGGGGACACATATGAAAAGAAAAAAGTATGAAAGCAGAAGGGAAGAAGAGTAAGTAGGAGAGAAGTGTCAGTTTACCTAATGGGCCATGTTAGGTGAGCCACTGAGACACTGCTAATCATTGATGCATTTCTGAGTTTCTCTGATATTTCTACATGGAAGACAATATTGTGAGATCACTATACTGTACCTTCACAAACATCTTGGCTAAGTGTAACATACACACCTACGTATATAACCAAATGCATTTTTTTCTTACTAACTGGCATTGCCTGCTTGCTCAGGTTTGCTTACACGGTAAACAAAGACATTTCTCTAAACCCAGCTGACTGAAACCTAAGGACATATTTATCACAAGGTAAGAAAAATAAAGTGTACCAGTGTTAAAGCTTTTCCATTGCCTCACTGACTATGGATGAAACTGGATCTTTGCAATGTCATTGCTGCTATAGAAACTACCAGACAACCAAGGTTAACAACATCTGGCAATAGGGCAGTACTGAACATTGAGAGGGGAGAGGAACGGCTCAAGTTTGGCAGGGTCACCACAGCAGCTCATCTGACTGAATAATGCTCTATGGTCTGGGGTGAGATTCTATTGTCCCTCTGCAATGATGTCTCAGGAAGTTGCACAGCTGGGCAGACTTGTGCAAAGTGGACCTCTAAAACCCTGCAGTACAGAAGGACCAAGACTATAAAGTGATATGCTTTATTGACATCTCTACCTTGAACGCAAAAGACAAAGATACAAATGCAAAAAGAGCTGCTAGCCCATCCAGTAACCTCTCTGCACTTTCAAACCTGATCTGCAGAATCTGGAGGAAAGAGAGGCAGCTGTGATAAAGGCTTATGAGGCATGATAACTCCAAGACTGAAAGAGCAGTCTGTCTTTTCAACGAAGGCTCAACTGATGAACTTAACATTGTGAGCTTGCTGAACAACATCCTTCATAAACACACAGCTGGATTCCAGCAAGCTCTGCCCACCTCACATACCTACTGAAAAGCAAAGGGAAGGCAAGCTTCAATAATTTACCATTATCTCAGAACAGTGACACATCTTTAAGGTCTTCAAATCTATTAGAATCTTCTGAAGGGGTAAACAAACATAAGGTCAGAGAACATTCAACTGGTATAATTTACTTGGATTTCTAAAAGGTTCCTAAACAAGGTCCGTTTATCAAAGACTTTTAAAGAAACTACTACGATAGAAGAGAAGATCTCTCATGAGAGAATAAATTTGGTAGATAAATGTTCACTTTTCACAGCGGAAGACTGTGACTAATATGTTCTGTAGCGATCTGTGCTATGCCGTATATTTTTTCCAGATGTTATACAAATATGTTGAGCAGTGAAAAGGTGATACAAGTTCAGCTGATAACATGAAGCTATTCAAGGTAATAAAGATGAGAGCTAATTACAAAGACCTAAAATATCATATCCAGGATCCAAATTTTACATATAACATGATCACCTCTAAATGTGTGATGATGGCAAACAGAAGACACTGAAGTTGTACATAACCAGTACCCATCAGTAGTTTTTATAAGCAAGAAAATTTAAGCACAATGTTTCCTTACTTTTCAGTTTTGGCCCACTCTACTGGACATACCTTTAATAGATTTGCGCAAGCTCACCTGAGTAGCTGCAGACTGACAGGAAGATGAGGAAGATGATGAGACAACGGGAATGTCAGACTGGACAGCAGCCACAGTGGTTGCAGGAGTAAAAATAAGCTGTTAAGCAAGAAAAAATATCTGGTAACAGACTGAAACTTTGAAAATATGTGAAAGAAATGCAATATTTTAAAGAGAGATACATAACCTACATGTAGTGATGTACAGCTTCTAAGATTTACTTTTTTACTTTTAGATGAACTTACTCAAAGAACAATTTATCATGATAGTGTAAGTAAATAAAACTAAAAGATAATGTAAAATAAATATAATAATGTAAAATATTTGTTCTACATATTAAGAAAAATTTTTCATATATATACACACTCCTATCATCTTTCATACAAACATTTTAAAGAGGACTTTCTCTCCAATATTACAAATGAGTGAAACAAAGGCAAAAAATGTCAAGAGAGCAGCCCAATATCTACTATATTAAAGAAAGAGAACTTAGATCTTCCAATCTGTCAACATGTTATTTAACAAGCAGAGTTTTTACATGAACTTTAACTATGTTAATTAAGTTTCATAGCAAGAACAGGTATCATACAACCAACCTGAAATTACTAACTTCACAATACCAGCAAACCTAACGATCACTAATTTCTTTATAGGCAATATAGCAAAGACAAGCTTTATGGAAGGCTTTGAAGAGAGACCATTAGTTAGTCTTCCATATTTTTAAAGAGAGCTCAACTGCGAAGAGCAGCTAAGAAGAAAACATGAAGGTTTTTATCTGGAATTGAACTGAGCTGGTGATGAAGCTGTTATGAGCTAGCTAGAGATAAGAGCTGACCTTTTTACAGAAAATGAAAGGTCTTGGTGATGAAGAAAAATACGTGACTTTTAGTATGTTAGCTGGAAACACTGAAGGACAGGTATGATATTCGAACTACTGAGGCTAGCAAAATGATCTTGCAATACCACTCTAAACAGAAACTAATAGGGTAAATTTCTCTCTTGAAACTGGGGCATAAAGCAGTTATTCAAATAAGCATGGGTTTTGACATTGAGAGTCTGGATGAAAATTTAGTGTAAATGAATAGAAAAACTGTATCAATAATCATTGAGAGAGATTGCCGCTACAAAAACCAGCAATGTCATCCTCATATTGCTTCAGCTACTAAGTTGTTAAAGCATATTGAAAGGCAGTGACATGAAATGAATTCATAATTCCTGTTCTGTTAAATAGTACTAAGTGCATTCAGCATCTAGCTTTTCTTACAAACCAGAGACTCAAGAAATCCTTTCACTGGCAAATGGATAAACAGTTGTTTGATCTTTAAATCCTTATCTTCAAGTTATACTACTTTTTCAATAAACATTGTAGGAAAACAATAGCCAAAGAAAAAACTCAACACAGCGTAACAGCATTGCTGTGCATGCCTAAGAAAAATCTCAGAAAAAGAACAAAGGATGACTTTTCCCAAACATACTTCATAGGTGCGATTCCTGCAAGAACTCATGCCTGCATCTAATTTTATATACCACTGCAGTCATGGACCTCTAGCTCTGAATCTCAGTGTAGCATAACAGTGATTCTTCCTGCTTCATATAGTTGAACGTAATACTCTAGAAAGCTCTGGTCATCAACTCACACAAGCCATAATAGTGTCTTTGGCCTTTACCAAGTGCTGATCGGTACCTGAGGATTCATATACAACTTCAGTAATTTCTGTGAAATCCCACACAGATTGTAAGGTTCAATTCATATGACACTCGCTAGAGAAAGTATTAACTTAAAAAAAAAAAAAAAAAAAAAAAAAAAACCACTAAACAGATTTTTCCGAGTTGCCCATTAGGAAATGGAAATGCCATATTGACAGGAAACTGCAAGAATCTAATGAGTTTCACGTGAATCCAAAGAGAATGAAAGCTATATATCTAACTTGAATTCCAGAGACAATAATGCAAAGAACAATCTTAGTTAAATAGAAGTAAATTTTAATTGAGTCGGAACTCTGAATGTTACCAGTGCATTGGAAAACAATCTACCTTGAATATAGACAGACTCCAGTATTCACTTCTACATAGCCAGAAATGACAGGTGCTCTTTTTCCATTTTTCCCATGTTTGATCAATTTAATAATTGTAATACGACCAGGCTAAAAACTCTTGAGCAAACTTCACCAGAGAACTAAGCTACAGCGATTCTTTTACTTCTGATGTCTACAGTGTTTCAGAAGATATGTATTCACAAATTAGTGACTAAATTCTCAATGCTATCTGAAGCGAAAGAAAAATATTTATAAATAATTTATAGAAACAAAATAAAACCTGAAACGGTTAAGGTGGTAGTTTGGTTTTTTCTTGGGGGGGGGCGGGGGGGTGGGGGTGTGGAGACAACAGGGACAGACCAAAACCAAGCTTAAGAACTGTAATCAAAACTTACCATTTGAGCTCGTAGATACATTTGAGCCTGGCTTGCACTCAGGGTTGGAGAGGTGCTCCCCAGCAACATAGTCTGTTGGGTAATACTGCTGCTGGTGGTGTTGGAGGTCTGTGAACGGCTTATTATCTGTGCAGGTGTAGGAGAGGTGGAGAGGTTAATCTAAGGAAACAAAAATATTGCTTCTGTCATGGAAATTCATTCATCCTAGGGTCTAAAGCCAGAAAACCTTTAACAAAAATAGCAGGGGCAGTTGAAATCTCTGAACTGTAAACATATCAAAAATATATTGAGCCAATCATCACAAAACTGGATTCTGGCAAGATTGTACATTTTCATTCTTAAACTGCAAGCAACCGTTTAGCAGTAAATAATAATAAGCAGTTACGAGTATAAAAAATATTATGAAGTCTGAAAAATATACCTCATAAAAATATACATTTACAGAATATGTAGTGTGAGCTTGCAATATTTTAAGAAAAACACCTGAATTTTAATATTTAAGCATCTTTAAATGTTTATATTATCTGACTGGACTGATATCTTCTGTTATGCGTCCTGATCAGGACACTTCCTTGTGCTGCCATATATGGACTTTGATTCCTCATTCTACATATGCACATTTAAAAATGACCAGAAACTAAAACTTGCTAGAATTTCATATTAAATGCTCCTGAACAATTGCTCTTTAGCATCTTCTCAAACACAAGCTGTTGTGTTTTTGGTTTGGTTTTTCTTCCTTTTTTTTTTTAATAACCAGTCTAACAGAGTTAAGTGCCCAGCTCTTTTTCATCAATTACTCAAAAGATTTCCTTGAAAAATCCCAGCCCAATTATTATGTTAGTTTAACATCAGACATCTTGAAAGACTTTCCCTCCTAAATTTAATGAATGAATGATTTTACTTCTAACAACTGTAAGCCAAAGCAATGTTATGAGAGCTTAAAAAAATACAGTTAAATCACTGAAGCTATGCACTGAAGTCATGAACAGCTTGAGGGCATGATTAATAAAAGCAGGATGTCTGTAGGACTAACAAAGTCCTACTCAAGACAACTGTAGAACTGTACATAAGAAACTGTGCAAATTACATGTTTGAAGATGCCTCTTAAAGAAATACAGCGTGAACTGAACACAGAGCTGCTAATAACTGAAACCTGAGCACATGCCTAGAATATGGATAAAGTAATTGAACGTGCATAAAAGATGCATGATAAAAGATGATAATCAATAAAAGAATGAATGCTTTAAACATTTAATCAGTTTCATATATATATGTGAGCATTGACTTGGATTCTTTAGATTTGGTGCTCTTTAATCACTGATGCACAGTTATGATTTTAACCTACAATAGTGCCCTGAATAAAGAAACTAATACGAAGAATCCACTAAGAAATCATGTAAGAGATGAAAGCTCAGGGAGTGACTCCTGCAGCGGTCTGAACAGTCACTAGTGCTTGCGGAGTGAGCAGCTGCCCCTCAGAGCACCAAGAGTGGGCTGGGACTGGGGAAACCTCCAACACTGGCCAGCAATGATAGCGGCTGGCAGCATGCATCAGGATGACTGGCGGATGCTGGAAGCGCAGCCAACACTTACTACAGAGTTGTCATACTTCTATTTACTGTTTCTGTAATACCAATTTTAACCACACAAATTTAAATACTAAAATCTTTTCTGTTTTTCCAAGTAGTTCTATAATAACCAAGAGGGGTTGAGAATGGATGGAGGGCTTTGTTCAGTTACGTACCGAGGTCTGCGACATGCTTGACTGCTGAGTGACACTCCCAGTGGGGGAAGTACATTGCCTCCCACCTGACAGGCTTGCCTAAATAGCAAGAATATGTGTCAAATATTGAAATCAAAAAGTGTTTAAGTGATGTTCATATTATTGCATAAACCATCAGAAACATCCCTCTCTACCATTACCTTTTCTCTGAGTTAACAGTACAAATGCTTTACTCAGTGGAATTAGTTTTCAGCAAAGTGCACTCTGCGCTACGGAATGCTACCTGCAAGGTGCTAAATGCCTTGAATTCCTACCCGATTTCAGGCACTCAGATTCTTGCAGATCAAGACTTGAACAAAAACTATCAGAGGTAAAGTCTATCAAACTGTTAATGATGGAGCTAACTGATCAGCTCACTACCTATGATGCTCAGAACTTAAAATGTGACATCATTAAAAAGTGTCATTATTAAAACTCACATCACAATTTTTATTATGATTAGAATCCTCTAAAAATAAAACAAACTTTATAAATGCTGTAAAGAACACCCTCATATTCTAGAATGTTAATTTATGTATGCACATCTAGTGTCTATAACAGTAGGCTATTCCAGCCCTTCAGATGAATACAGGGACAGTGGTTTAGATTTCTGTATTAACAGACTGCACACCAAAACTTCTTAGCCTTCCTCAATCTGATTTTCTTTGCTCTGTCTCGGTAACTGTATATGCACATACAAATCCGTCACAAAAAAATGACAAATCAATATATTACCACAATCTACTGAAAAAAGTATGGAAGAAAAAGCAAGGAGCATAGAAGAGTCAGTCCCAGTTCTGACAACAAACAGCTATATCCCTGAAGTCTTTAACTCCGTTTTAGCATTTCCATGTGTAAAATCATTGACAACCACCTATCTCTGCAAGATCTCAATCCAAGGTCAACTGAGGTCAAAGGAAATCTTCCCACTGCTTGAGTTTTCAAAATGGGTCTCCTCCAGTGTTCACTAATGTTAAAAGCTGTGCTTCAAAAATGAAATGTCATTTACTTCCTACATTTCCACACTCAGAGTTAAAACTGAATTTTGCCATTACTTATAATGCAGCCAGATGTGTGGCAAAACACACTGATACCAGATGTTCATTATTTTTATTTGATCTCACTAAGATACATTGCTATTCATTGCTTTCCCCATCAACTTTTAGAGACAATCATGGGATGAAGATTGAAGTAGTCTACTTTTAATATTTGTTTTATTACTGTTTGATGATTTACATGATGCATTATAATGTATGCAATAAAGCATGGAATGGTCGCCTACTGGAGCACTTATAACACTGGACAAAATCCTCCAAATAGTTTGGAGGAAGATACAATTTAAAATAACAAAGTCATTAAAATATAACAGTGAATTACTGTGAGGCATTAAGCTCAGGCACTTAAGCTGTTATTATGTTTGACAATGCTCTAGAATTGTAGTCCTACTCTATAAAGTAGTACACCATTCTTTTTCAGCAATCTTCGCTCTCACCTGTGGTACAGTTGCCAGACTCTGAAATTGGGTACTGCTTAAGTGCTGCTGCTGCAAAGCAGCAGTCTGCAGCATTAGATGCTGCTGTTGGGCTGCATACATCTGCTGGAGGTACTGAGCAGCTGAGCTAGGAGGACGATGCAAGGCCTGCTGAATAACCTGTGATGAATCAGTAGGTAATTAATTACAATTACAAAGTACACACCATGCTGACATGATGCTGAAGGAAATAAAACCAAATAAATTCTTTTCACACCAGTTATGTAATACTGAACTTGCTCCATCACTGTTCTCAACCAAGTCACAGAACATAGTCAACATAAATATATTCATGTTTTCAAGGAAAGCCTGACAATCAGCTGACAATACAGCATCATTCCTAACACAACATCCAAGCCTCTTAGGTTCTTGTCGACAAGTCCTATGTAATGTTTCGCTTTTTGAAAGATCAGGATAGCATGAGAGACTCAGTTATCACACCCAACAAAATGGACCGTACAGAGTTCGAGGAGACCTAATTTAAAGAACAGCAAGAGGGGGCTGGATCCAAAGCAGTTACACACAAAGATACCTCTGGATCCCAGTAGTCAATGTTGGTCAAACAAACAGCTTTATTTTGTGAAGGCTTATGTTAATAATACATACCCTTAGGGAATGGCCAAAAAAACAAGCTTTCTAGCATAGCATTTCCCCCTCCCTTATTTGGGAGGCAGGCCTGTACCCTGCACTATTCTTAGGTGGTCTGACACCCTCTGGTAAACAATATCTTCTGAAAACCAGTTAGTCAGATACTGAGAAAGAAGACAGCAATTAAGAATGGTAAATTAATCTTGCGTAAAGTATTGTGCAATGCCTGTACTTGAGAGCACTGTACAGTACAGGAAAGAGTATCTCATAGCCCAGTACCTGGACAGCATGCCTGTCAGAGCCGCTGTAGACAGATATTTGTGGCAGCTGTGTCCGGGAAGTGGAGGTGGTAGTGACAGTAGTTGTAGATGCAGAACACGTTGTTGTGTTTGGTTCATTCTCCATAGCTGTGCAGTGTTCGTCCAGCCTGGCAGAATTGAAATAGAAGTGGATAGAAAAATGGGCAATTTTCAAATGGCTAAGTTTGTAGGATTTCTATTATTTGATGGGATTTGTTGAGAGATGCAGTTACAATCGTCTAAGATCTGTCAAGAATAGCAATAGGTGAACAATTTAGGAATACACGCAAGACTTCCAGCAAGCTACACAAGAGTACTGCCATATCCCTCTTCTTCACAGCATAGCACAGAAACTGCTGGCTAACCATTCTGTACATTTAGCAAAACATTCTTGGCAAAAATCACTGGTGGCATGCTCTATTTGGAAAGAGATGGAAAGGATGTAGAGAAAAACGCTTTTACTTTTTACAGCAATACCTCCCAAAATACAGCAACAGTCAAGGAAGAAACTACCTGTTTAAGCATCTCTGCTGATTCCTCCCCAGCCTTATGAGACTTCCCTCTGTTGCAGAGTACAGTCTCTCTCCCAAAATGTCATCTTTAAAACTGAAATGAATTGCATATCTCAATATACAAGGTGTGTTTACTTTAGTTTCTTTTTCAGTATTAGTATTATGATTAACAGGAAATTGCATAGTTGCTGTTTATTGCTTTTAAAAGGATGTTAAAAAAACAGGTGGGGAGAAGATGTGTTTCTTTCTTACAATAAAGAAGGGGTCAGAAAAATAATCATTGAGAGAGCTGCAATGTCCTAGGAAAAAAGCAGCATTGCCAAGTGCTTAACAAACCGCCCATTGGATGCTGCATTAAACAGGAACATAATTAGGAGTTTCAACTCACACAGCTGAAAGCAGAATGCAATGCTATCAGGCTGCTACCGTCACCTCTCAAAACATGACTACTTTGCAAGTAGAGAACTGCACATGATGCCGTAGCTCCTGATTACTTGGAATAGCTACACTTTTAATAGATATGTGGTCACCTAAGGACCTCACACCTATCATTGTATTGTATATCTGCATATGTTTTGCCATCAAAGAAAATTCATGGCAATAAAGCATGCTTTAAAAGCAGAGATCCCTACTATTAGAACTGAAGAAAAAAATTATGGCTTTGTTGTTAAAAATTCAGATCTGTTGTGCATTATTGATGCCATTTGTCTACCTACATTAGAGCACAAGTTAACACACATGGTTAACCACTTAAATTGCAATAAAAACAGCATCACTTCTAAAACCACTTTACATTAATTTCACATAATGCTAATGAAAAGTACCTTGAAAAAACTCCTGTCTCCTGCAACCAGATAAATTAGCCTAAGAAAACAACACTGGATGTTTAATTTCCTTCATTCTCAGCCACGTTTTAGATGTATTATTAGTGAGATGTGCAATGTATCCCACTCTACTAGCTATTCCATCAGAAGTTCACCCCATGAGAGCTGTTAATCCTTTAGCTGAAAGTGTCTCATCTTCAAAAATAATTTTGTCATTGCCCAAGTTGTTCCCGCAATGGATGTACAACGAAAACAGGAAGGAGCTCCTGAACTTTTGTTCAGCGTGGCCTGGCACTGGGGTGCATCTCCAGTCCTCCTCTAACACCTCACTTAGAGCCAATAAGAGATGCTACCCCTCAGTCCTACAGCAACACAAACACCACGCAGCACAGCACTAACACACGGAAATAGCGTGCCCTCTCTCGGCTGAGGAACAGTAAAGTGTTTCAACAGATGACACTTCTTAGAAACCTCTTCTCTAAGTGAGAAGTGCAATGTTTAAGGGAGAAGAGGAAATACATAAAGGGTGGTTGTTTTTAGCAAGGAAACCAAGAATCCATTACAATTTAGCAGGTGGATATTTTATGACAGAAAGCATAAAAGCCATTACAGACTTAAAATCAGACTGCCTTTACAGTGTCGCTTTCATTTACTTTACAACGCTGTATATGCAGAGACCACTTCTAGTTATAAAAAAAAACCTCAGATACAATTGAAAATAATCTTCTGAAATAGTTCATTAAGTACTCAACAAAATCAAAAAGGCAAATCTCCTAACTTATAGTAAAATTAGTTTTGTTAAATGTATGACTAGGACCATACAATGATGTTGCCTGTGAACAACTTAAACTCCAAAGAACCCCTGTAATGCAGTTTTAGAAATTGCACTGAACTCCGACTTTAAGAAAACCACTGTGCATTTAAGTAACCCCAAAATACAAAGCACAACAGAAAACTATATTGAAAATCAGTATTTATTCAAGTAGTAACAGTATGAGACACCACGTAATTTCAAATTACACTGTGCATAATGTAAATATTCAGAAGTTTTGTTCTCTTTATATTTTTTGGTCAAAGCAAATATGTAAAAATAATGTAAAAAAAAATACCTGCTATTGTTAAACTACCTTCACAGTGGATATGCATGTCACTACTCATGTTTTAGAAAGTTTGACTTTTGGTAAATGCCATGGTAATAACGAACACTGCTGACAATCTGCAACCATAAGTGGTATTAGAAAATAGGGTTGGTTTTGGTTTGGGTTGGTTTGTTTTGGTTTTTTTTACATATACGGTTTATTCTTATTCTTTCCATTCATGACCTCTCCTTACAACTGCAAGGGTACAAAACACAGAAAATAAATGAAAATTTCCTCCAAGTCTAATCCCTACAGACATTTTCGTATATGACTGAAGGCTCCAAAATAAGCCCTCTCTCTTTCCCTTCACTCTAAGTACAGTATAGGCCAACCTTGCCCAAACCTTGGAGTTTAGTGCTTTTGGTTAAAAAAAACCACCCAACCAAACAAAAA